GCTCTCCCTCTTTGCTCGCTCGCTCGCTCGTCCGGACGTATCGTCTGCCCGACTCGATCGAAGATCCAGGATTTCCGACGGCAGGAGACGCCGGCAGACGTCTTCGTTGCGTACTTTCCTCGTTCTCCTTCCTTTTTTCGACCAGCCCGCTCAGCGCCCCTCTGTGAGAGTTTCGTCGGTGTGCCTGTGCATGATTTCCTCCTTTTCCAGGAGAACCTGTTAAATTGTGACTCGCGTCGCCAACGTCCAGCCCGGGACGTCAATTTCGACGAGTGTCAAGCAAAGGAGCAAGTGCGTTTTCGGTGACTCGTCGCGTCTCGTTAACGGAAACCGAACGTCTCACCACGCATTCTTTTTGTCAGTCGTTTTAGGTGGACGCTTGAAAATCTTCCGACCCGGTGGAGAATTTCATTTCCACGCTCGCGTCTTTCGCGTACGTCTGTAACATTGTAAGGTTGTTGCAAAGCGCAACGAAGAGCACCGGTATTTCTTCTCGCGCGAAATGACGGCAACCGCCATTGTGCTCGGCTACTGGTGTCCTTGCTGTGTCGCGGCTGTACGAGCGATCATTTGCGCGAGAGATGACTAGAAAACGCAAGAACGCGAGATTTCCATCGGCTCTCTGAACGAGGATGACAAGTTTCCGCGGGATGTTTACACAGCTATAGAAGACACTGTCCTTTTATGGCACGTATGGAGGCACTATTCGTCGTTTCTTCGGTTTAAACGCTTCATTAGAGACGATCACGTAAAATGTCAATGTTTTTACTCCGTTGGTACGCCGTTTCTAATGATATCGTGTGTTAACACTTCATTAACGCACGTGTTACGAAATTGCGTAGGAGAGTTCGTGTTACCGTGTACATTGTTCCACCACCTTCCGTGATCTTTCGAAACGTTTGCCCGTTAATTCGTTTGACGTCAGAGACGGCTGTCGATGCGGCCTTCACTCTGGCCTCTAATTAGCTCGATTTGTTCGTTGTTGTTAAAGAACGCGACGAAGATAAATGGACGAGGCCTCGCAGAAGTTTCCACAAGCGCCTTGTTTTCGTCCGCTAATCGGCTTATTAGAATCAAAGCTAATTGCGACGTCTTGTTTCGAATCGAGTTTTTTTTTTTTTTTTCATTAATTAACCGTTTCCCTCGTACATTGTTGCACAGAATTGTACTCATTTCACATCGAGCAATGAAACAGATTTAAAATTAGATTCCTTTAAATTTCATAAATAATTAAATCAATCGTGGAGGAAGAAGAAAGAGTATCAACTATGAATCCTTCGAATTCCTTTGCAGAGTTTCACGATGCAAATTGGCTGACAATTGTAAACGATATGTTTACGAATGGTGCTTCTTCAAAGATACGCCTCTTTCAATACGAGGAAAGAAAACACCGAGTGCCGATTCTCATTAGAATGTTAATCTGGAAATGAATTCTATGAAAAGAAAAAGAAAAAGAAAAAAAAAACATTTGCGTCAGAAACCTTGAGAATCGTAATGGATCGAGAGGACCTGTCTCTGATAATTTTATCAAAACATTTACGCTGAAAGACTGTGATCGGTGAAAAGCAAGCGGCCGCGTTCGAGGAGGGTTGAACCGGCCGTTTAAGGGTCAAAACGTGAGCAGAACAGAGCCGGGCGGGGAGATATCTGTGAATGGATGGACCAAAAAGGGAGAAGACAGTGTTCGTTCAAAAAGGGATCCCTCACGGCTCTGTCTTCGGTCAGTTTTACTGCAGTTTCAGGATTCCAGAGCTGCGGATGGCCAGGTGCCTCGTCTCGTCGCAAAGGGAAACTCGTAAAGTGACTTTAAACCGATTCCTTCTTTCGTTCCAGTGAATCACTTTTCCTTCGCCGTCTCTCTTTTCCATTGTTTCTTCTTTCTTTTTTTGGGGGAGGAACAGAACCCGCCCTGTTAGCGCAGTTCCAAAAAATTCATTGTTCTTTATGAATCGTGAATTCTTACGGGGGTGGCGTGTCGACGAAATAAAGAGCTGCGAGAAAATCGTGGAGTCGAGGTGTTCGCACGAGTTCGCACTGTGGCACGAAACAGAAAGTGTGAAAGTCGTTGAAGGAGCACGATTTAATTTGGTCGTCGCATTTTTTTTTTTTTTTTTTTTTTGGTTTTTCTCGAATAAAGATTTCGTCCGAGAAAAAATTAATTTCAAAGTTTTTCCGAGTTTTTTGTACACTATTGGTATATCCAGAAATAAAACTAAACAGAACGAATTGTATGTTTCTGTAACTGTGTAATCCATTGAATCAAGTTAAACATCTCTGTAAATATATTGCACTATTTTTTTATTTACTTATTTAATTCAGATTTCACCAGCTATTATTATGAAAAATTCATTCAAATCCGACACGTTTCACCACGTATCCTTTCTCCATCCTCCATATTCTAAACACTTTCTTCCATCCAAAGTTTAATTTCCGGCACATTTCCCGCGTAAAGAGAGGCAACCTCCCACTGTATTCGTGCTCGATAAAATATACGATATAATAAACCACTTTTAAAGCCTCGGTGTATTCCGATCTCTGCTATCGTCTTGCACAATCTCTCCACCGCTTCGCTCGGACTTCGGCTACACAGCGTTTGCCCCTTAAATTACTCCAAAATCATCTCGAACACCAAGTAATTAAATCTAGTTCTCGTTTCACTCGTGGAACTTGATCAAAATTTGTCAAAGGGAATTCTTTTTATTGAGATATCGGAGCATCGTTCACATCTATGTATCATAAAATGGATTATATGAATTAGATATCTACGGCGAATCGAATACGGAATTGGTTTCTATTGCAATCGAATTGTATCGAATTTTGAAACGTCTAGTTTTGCACGTGGTGCGGAAAATATAACGCGACGAGCTTTATATTTCTATATTTCTATATCTATTTTTTTTTTTACTCATTTTTTATCTTTTATACTTTTATATTTCTGATTTTTCCTTTTTCACATTTCTGCACGATACTTTATATTTCCTAGTGACGTCACGAAACTACTTCTCTAGGATTCCCAATATTTCTATACTTAGATAAAAAAATTTTATGCAAAAAGTCTACGCGATAAGCTACAAGATCGAACTTGCTTGAGCACTTATTGGGCATCATAGAATTTTCCTTGTCCTTTTACTCCTACGCAACACGAATTCTAACACCAGTGAAAACTAGCCTAGTGAGAAATACACGAAGCCGCTTCCTTAAAATTTTTATATAGAAAGTCGCGTAACTGGTGGTACAACCGAGGTTAGGAGGTGATTCTACTCGAGAGAACGAGTAGAATAGAATTTCCATCTTTGAGAAAATCTAGACTTTGAAACTTGCTCAAGCAAGTGTTCGATCTGTTTGAATTTAGTTAATTTTAAGTAAAGAACAATTAACAAGAGGTCATTTTACGAAAATAAATAAAAGAATGTAGGTAAGGTGTAGCGTAACGATTGTGTTCGAGTCATAATCATAAAATTTGAAAGAGAAAGCAAGTTCTACGAAAATTCTTCGAAATTTTAAATTCAAGTTCTATCCACCGATAGATTAATAACCTCGCGTTTCGGTGCTTCTTGCGCAATGCGATGCGACAGAATTGAAGAAGCTTGAACAGAAAATCACGAAGGGGGGTTAATTCGTGCAGCAGACGGAGGACAAAAAGAAAAAAAAAAAAAAAAACAGAAAAGAAAAGAAGATGAAGTAAAGAAAAATCAAGATGCTGAAAGAGCACGGAGCGATGGCTGCCTGGACCGGCGCGGTTTTATGGGGGTCGTCAAAACGCACCGCGATACTCCGGTATGCGGCCTCAGCTCCACGCATTCCATGTCGCCGCTGAGCCGCTGGCTCGTTCGTGGCTCGGAACTATGAGAGAAATATTACAAAGAGACGAAACAGCGACACGGTAGCCGACGATCCGTCTCTCGTGCCGTGCGCGAAAAGAAATGCAACGCAGCTGCTTCGCTCTGGCCGTAAAATCGTTTGAAATTACTCGACCGTTTTGCTCGGCAAACTGTCCGATTCGAAGGGACGTGAGCCTGGTTCGCGCAGCCGTGCCGGTTAAATCCGTATGGAAATTTCTCCGCGGGCAGTGAAACACTGCGCAACGGAGAAGAAAACGCGGGAGATTCGGCTTTGATTTCGATTCGTCGCTCCGGTTCCTGGCAATCTTCCTCTACTCGCGAACTTGACTCCTTCGGAGTGCCGTGTTTTACGGTGGCATGCGCGGTGAATGATGGCCTGTCTGTGGGTTTTTGTCGGTTTCTTATGGGTAGTAACACCCATGTTTCTTTTCCTCCTTCGTTCTTTTTTCTCTTTTCCTTTTTCTTTCATGCACAATGTTCTTGGCCATCAACGTTATTATGTACGCGGTATATAGAGTGGTGCGATGTCACTGAGAGAGACAGAGCGATGTGCGTCTGACTACACGCAAGAATTGGATTCTCGCACGGTGGAAATTGATTTTGATGATAAATTGAGTCTGAGTAATTCAGATAATTATTGTATTCTACGCAAATATGCAGGAAATGTTAATATGATAAATTGAGTCTGAGCAATTTAGATAATTATTGTATTACATATTGTATTAATTTAGATAATTATTGTGTTATATGCAAATATGAATTTTTGTGACTTGTCTCTCTATGAGCTGAGATATATTAGATATGTTTCTTTATCTTTCTATATACTATAATATACGGGAACAGTTAACAACTTTGTGAAAAACTGAAATCAGATGTGCCTGACTGTGTTCGGTGACGATGACAGCCATAACTGATAAAATATTAATAGAGTATCTACGCAATTATATGAGCTAATGACGACAACTATAATACCTCATCCTCAACATCTTCTGTTACAAAGGGTGAAAGATCAAACGAGGTGAAGACAAAGTCAAGCTCATCTCATCAATTATCTGACGACTATTTGAACAACTGTTCGAACATTTCCACAATTTTTTCGAGTTTCTACGATTTCTACAAAATCCAAACCAACGATTTCTACAAAATCCAAAGCAACAGCGCAAGAGCACCAACCACCGATTCGAGTCAAAGCTACCCCAACCCTTTATTTATCCCCTGCACGACCGAGGAGTACGATCGCGAAACATCGACCAGTTTGACGAGATTTATGATTTCGGGCATAGTGGTTGTAACGACGATCCTGTCGTCGGTTGAGCCGGGCAACGGTGTACGGTGATCGGTAAGGAGGTCGGTGGCTGGCGTTCGTCGAGGCGAGAAGAAGGGTGCAACTCACGGAGAGGCGCCCGGCAGTCTGGTCAGTCCGGTTTCCTTCCGGTTGAAAAGTTGCGCGCGGCCCACTGGCCATCGCCTCGTGCCTCCTCGTCTCGCTAACGACATTTTTCTTCTCTCTCTCTCTCGTTCTCTCCCTCTTCCATGCCGCGTTCACGTTGTTCTTCAACCCTTTTCCCGCGTGCAGAGCTCACCGAAAGAGCCGTTCACCTGGCAACGTTGCGTGTTGTCTCACGAGCCGAGGATAGACAACGTCTCCTCCTCGTTCGTCTCGAGGGGGTTGCTTTTTTTCCACCCCTTCGTACGTGCTCGACGTACACGCAACGTCGGCGACGACCCTCCGAATCGTGTGCACGCGCGTGAGACCACGTAATTTTCTGACGGGCTCGCGTTCGTCGGGCGAGGGTGAGGTCAGGTTTTGTCCCGGTGAAACGGTTCGAGCGTTCTACAGCGCTACACCCGCGCGATTTCCTGCGTTCCGCGAAGGCTCTGCATGACGAATCACGTGAGAATTGAACGCGAACTCGAATCCGCGACTGAAGAATTTTCTTTATTAGCATATTAGCCTTAGACACGGGGCAAGGACAACTTTTCATTGTAGAAGTAGTTTATAAGTTTCGCTGAAAATTTTGGGGACGATCATCTGTTGCGACAGAGGGGAATTATCCCTTTATACACAGACGACGAAATTTCGAATTTTCTCTGCAGCAAATATTCTCTTCGAAGTTAACTCTTGGCCCGGTCGTTCCTTATCGTACCAACGAACAGACCAAACAAGCAAGATCCAAACAATTCACTCGCAGCCACGCAGAAACGTTTTCTCTCCTCAACTCTGGTCGAATCTGTGTTAAATCCGGGCAACAATCGAGCAACGGCAAGCTGGAGAGAGAATCGTTGTGCCCCGTCCGCTTCTCGGAATCTGCATGCCTACGGCATCTTACGAAGATGATCCTGATCTTTCGAGAGACGACAGGATTGGCTGGGATCAAGAGCAAACAAGAAGAGGAGGGAGATAGGGAGGGGGTGGCGGGGGGAGGAGGAGAAAGAAAAGAGAAATTCAACGGAGAATCGGTGTTGATTGTATGTATCAGGTAGCTGAACCTGGTGATAGAATTGTTCGACAGCAGGTGCCAAGCCATGGGTATCCAAAGTAAAATATTGTTCTTGCGTCCTCGTGACTAAGCGCCACAAGGCGAGTCAAAGGATCTCACCAATCCTTTGTCTAAAACCAGCCAGAGTATTTTTAAGTTCACGAGACACCTATCTCTCTCTCTCTCTCTCTCTCTCTCTCTCTCAAGCCTTTCATTTTTCTTCAGAAAATCTTCCTACAGTTTTCCATTTACCTGTACGTCCGGCCGTCGTCGTTGCTGGTTCTCAAAATTTTCTCGTTAGACCTTCAGAGTCGAAGTGAATATTTTATTAACGACTCGTATCTCCTCCGATGGGATAACAGCGAACAACGACGAAGGTAATGTAAAATTTATGCGCTCGCTTTTCGAACGAACAGATGATCACGACGATTGTTCGGTCGTGTTCGGACGAACGGTTTGTTGCAGTGTCCCGTAAATTTTACATCAATTGATCGAGCAAGATGAGGTACTGCGGTGAAACTCTTCGGACGACAAATAGTTTTTACAATGAGAATTTATGTAATAAAAGTCCACCGATTCTTTCTTCTGCTAGCGATTTTTTCGGTTATACAATAAAAGTTCAGATTTAGACAATTTGGATTCAACCAGCAGCAAGAACTGATTTAATCGGGTGGTGATTAAAATTTGATTCGAATAAATGGAGTTGATATCAACTGTAGATAATTGAGATTGACGTTGTCCTTGGTTTTGAATTAATTATTTTAAAAAATCGGTTTCTCTAAATCGACTGGGAGAAATCGAATCGATCGTCCAGTAGAAGGAGAATTCGGATTCTTAGGAATTAGGTCAGTTATCGCAACAGAAATATGATTTAGCAAAATGTAATTTTAGAACCGATTTAGCTGCCAAATGGAACCATTAGTTTGCATAAACATCTAAAATCAACGAGAGCTTGAATCATTTGCATGCAAGCCGCCACTTCAGCGGATCTGTTGTGCGTATCGAGCTTCAATTAATATCGCTTGCGAAACACATTTTGCAATTTCCGTGTTCCGTTCCCTTTGTCATCGGGCAGCAGCCAACTCGGGGGAGCAAAAATAATAGCCGCGCGGAGAGCAGAATTCCAATAAGAATCAGAGGGAACCGACAAGTTCATTTCCAGGATGCCATAACTCGCTGTTTACGTTTTCTCTTTTCTTTTCTCTCGCCAGCCGCTCAATCTTCACGCCAAACTACGAAAATGCCCGTGTTTTCTCATTGGGGAACATCGAAAGTTTGAGAAATTAGACCGCCACCGTTGGCTGCAACTGTTTTTCGAAAATATTTCTAACCAACCTGACCAATCTTTTATTTGATGGCCTATTTTAAATTATTACACGCGGATTTTTACAGTACATTTATGTAACACGAGAAAAACAAATACAACACTATATATATTATATATGTTATATTCTATATATATATATATTATATATGTTATATTATATATGTTATATTCATGTCATATATGTTTATATGTCAAAAATTTTACCAAGTTGTATATAATGTATCTTATATCTTCGTGCAAATATGAAGGCCAGAAATAACCGTGGCATACTTCTGTTTAATTTTGATTTAATATTTCGGGATGAATTCCTTTCCACGCTTCTTCGAATTTCTTCCATAAGTCTTTTCCTTGATTTTGGACACATTTCTGAAGGCTTCTGTCCAATTCATCCCAAAATACATCGATTCGACTTTTTGAATATATATACTTATTTTCGATATACTTTGAAATACTTATTCAGACCATATACGTTAAATGTCAGTTTTGTCTTCAAGTATTATTATAAAATAGAGTGAATAGAGTAACATATAACAAGATTGTGTAATAAAATTAATCCGGAAAAGTATATCTGTGTTCTAGTAACTGTTTAGATCAAAATAAGCAAGTGTCCGGTGACTTATGGACGGGAACATGTGTGTATATATATATATATAACTATTTTTCTTATTTTCTATTTTTCATTTTTATATTCGAAATATAAATTTCCACGAAACTCGGCAGCCTGTTTGCGCGGAATCGGAGAACGTGCGAACGCGATACTTGCGAGCGAGAGGAACTCTGTCGGTACAGCGGAAAGAAAAGCTGTGAGAAAGATATGGTAAGGGGGCGAAAGTTGAGACGAGTGGCGGAGGATAATTGAAGGAGATGGAAAAAGGAACAAGGCAGACGAAAAGGGGCGAGAGGGGATCGGGCAGGATGCGCGAATGTTGTTTAAAGTCTAGACACAATGTAGGACCCCCGAATTAGTGGGGCCCGCCGCGCGCTGCGTTTCTACGGTAATTAACGAAATTAGCCGCAATTAGAGAGTGCTCGGCGTGTCCCTCGTTCCCCTCTCCTCTTCGGCGATCGCCAGATCGTGGAAGAGGGACGCCGTCGGGACCGTCCTCGAGTGGCGCATTTACGCCAGGGCTTAATGACTAACCGCATCGGCCGAAAAACTATCTAACCAGCGAAACTATGGGAACCGGGAACTGCTCGACCCGCGATTACTATGCTGGCTGAAGGGAACAAGGGGAGGAAAGATCACGCCAACAGTTAGGACTGTGGATGATTGGATCGTTCAAGCTGGTGGTGAATTTCATGAGATCGCTCTACGTTCTTTGATGGACAGCTACTCGCTATGACATTTGGACAATTGTGCGAAATTCTTTACGAATACGTTGTCGCATGAAATACATTAAAATTTCATTAATCCTGTGATGAAACCGTCGTAATTAGATTTGGCCAAGATTCGTTATAGTACAGCTGCGATTCATTGTTGCCAGTACTTGTTGGTACTGCACAATAATTTAGCGGGATCGTCTTTAATCGTATGCTGTATCTTTCTTTAATTTCTGATATACATGATCGGATTGCTTTCAACTTTTATTTTCTCTTCTCGTTAATCTAATATTAAAGATCTAATATTATTATCCCTATTAATATTCTTCAAAAGAAGGATTAGGTATTCCTAAAAAAGTTACCGAAAGTTCCTGAAAGAAATTGTAGATATTCCTGAAGCACAAACTTCGTCTAAAAAGTTAAAGTCGAAAACTCTACTGAAGGATCATTAAGTAAAAACATTAAGTAAGCAATTATCCACGTCATAAACAGACGATCCTCAAAAACTACCCAATATCAACCCCTTTTTGCAATATATACGACCCCAGTCCTCAGTTTCTCCAGTCGATACGATATCAACGACAATCGCGTTTTCGAATCATGGTGCCAAGACATAGAGAGAAAGAAAGAGAGAGAGAGAAAATAGATTTGAGGATCAAGGTTACGTAGACAGGTTCCAGCAACCTGTTAACCATGAAGCTCATCGTTCAGCATCAGCACTGGTCAGCACCGGGACCAGGAAAGCGGAAAGAAACACGCAACAGGCCACAGGCATAAAGCGCAAAAGAGAAGAGGAGAAGCGAGATCCCTTCGTTGTCCAACGACCCCCAATAGATGTCGGACGAACATGTAGCACCTGCTTCTTCATGGATGACCATAGAACACCCGAAAAACTGTCGGCGAAATTGCCGAGCTGCATTCACATTCGCTCAATCTGCCACCCGCCATCGATTGGCCATTGTTCGTTTGAACAGAAACACTTCGCACAAAGTTGTCATTCACAGGCATGTCCTAATTCCCTTGTAACCAGTAGGCAAATCTC